AGGCAGGGTTTTCACAAAGAACTGAGGAAGGAATAGGGTTGTTAATTCGATAAGCTATAACGTTTCAAGCAGGAAGAGGTATGAAGCCCAGAAAGGCTAGTTGGTAGTGGAAATCAGAGCCATAATTTGGTTCTTCTGACTGCCACCAACCACTCTGCCTGGAGAAGGAATGTCAGATACACCTCTGTGGTGGCAAAAAGCCCCTCAGGGACTTGCAGTCCGCTGCCCCTACCCCCAGCACGTGCCTTGCTAGAAAAGTGACCCCACTCTTCCCTGCAGGTATCAGCTGACTCCAGCGCCTCCATGAACTCTGGGGTTCTTCTGGTCCGGCCTTCCCGTCTCTCCTCCAGTGGGACCCCCATGCTAGCTGGGGTCTCTGAATATGAACTTCCCGAAGACCCCCGGTGGGAGCTACCCCGGGACAGGTACCACATGGACACCCAGCTGAGGATACCCTGGGTGGCTCTTCTAATGCTGGCGGTTGTGTGTATTTTGCCTTTCTGCTGTCTATGAGGTCCCTCCAGAAATACTCTGCCCACTTTCCATTCTCAGTTGGGTAAAACACAGAGAGGTGGTGATGGGGTCTTGTGAAGGTGTGACCGTTACCAGCTCCAACTTACACCATTCTCCGTTTCCCCAAAAGACTGGTCTTAGGCAAACCCCTGGGAGAGGGCTGCTTTGGGCAGGTGGTGTTGGCAGAGGCCATTGGGCTGGACAAGGACAAACCCAACCGTGTGACCAAAGTGGCTGTGAAGATGTTGAAGTGTAAGTGATATCCCTGTCCTTGCACAGCAGCCCTTCCCTTTCTGGCCATCAGGGGCCCCAGTCAAGGTGAACACTTTCTCTTCTGCTTGCATCGCCCACATCTGCTGCGCTGCCTGTGCGGGATTATCTGGGAATGGAGGGGCCATTGCGCACCTAGGATCCCTGCAGTCTCACCTTGTCCCTTGGTGTCACTGGGCTGTGCTCAGGTGTTCCCTCTAGATGCCATGACTAGCAGCCACACTCACTACCACACATGCAGCCCGGGGCTCCCAGTGGAGGGGAGGAGAGTGCCAGGTGGAGAAAGGCCTCAAGCATCCATCCTCCCCACGTCGTAGCTGTCCTGTCACTCCTTCCTCCCAAAGTAACCGAGTTCACCCCATTTTGGTTTGCACACAAAGCTGATGCAACAGAGAAGGACCTGTCGGACCTAATCTCTGAAATGGAGATGATGAAGATGATTGGAAAGCACAAAAACATCATCAACCTGCTGGGGGCCTGTACACAAGACGGTAGGCACCAGCTGGGCAGTTCCCCTCCTTGGCGGGTCTGGGCCTGAGTATTTGACCAGGACTCTCAGCAGCCCTAGGGAAGGGATTGAGAAGAGGGGCCGGTTTAACATGGTCAGAGTGCTTCTTGGGTCTGGGCTAGTGTCCCATTAGTGCTCATGTAAGAATACAGACAACGAGATTCGTATGTAGTTTGGAGACATGAACAGGAAAGTGATAGTGACTTACATCAGGGCTCTCACTTCCAATTTTGTTTGGGAACTTCTTGGACTATGCAGGAAAGAATTTCTGTGGTGGTAGAAAGACTTCGGGCTCCTGTCCAGAGGTAGAGGAAGAAAGGATATGACCAGGGCACATGCAAGTGGGGTGTCACTGGGAGTAGACTTCTCCAGGTGAATCCATACCTGCTTACTGCTTCCTCCCTATGCCCGCAGGTCCTTTGTATGTCATCGTGGAGTATGCCTCCAAGGGCAACCTGCGGGAGTACCTGCAGGCCCGGCGGCCCCCAGGGCTGGAATACTGTTACAACCCCAGCCACAACCCCGAGGAGCAGCTCTCCTCCAAGGACCTGGTGTCCTGCGCCTACCAGGTGGCCCGGGGCATGGAATATCTTGCCTCCAAGAAGGTGTGGAGCTTGAGTTTCCCCAGTGTGAAGTCAGAGTGGGACCAAGCCCTCCTGCCCCAGTTCGTGTCTTTCCATCCCCCGGTAGAGTTGTAGATGTATTGAGCACCGGCCCCACGTGCTGTCTTACGTTCTTGAGGACCTCAGACAGACCTGGTGTAGCCTATTGACAGTGGCCTTGGGATCATACTGGATTCTGTTCAGATCTGTGCTCTACCACTTTGCCTAACCTCAGGGAACTATTTATTTCTTCAAATACAAAGTAAGAATAATTATACCTATGTTGCAGAATTGTTATAGGGATAAGACAGAATCACATCTGTGCAAGTGTTAAGTAGAGTTCTTGATGCTCTATTAATGGTGGCTTGGTTTGAGCCCTGACTCAGTGCAGATGTGCTGTGCCTAGGGGACCAGGTTTGCAGCTGGTGCCCAGGCAGACTGAACATATGCCTAATGTGTCCACCTTTGTGAAAATACAAAAGCTTAGAGCTGGGGGACCAGAAAAAAAGTGGCCTGTAAAGAGGCTTTGCTAAAAGGATCGAGAAGGCCGGAACTGCCAACGTTTGGAGTAGAGGGATAGAGAATGTTGGGATGGTCCAGTGGTGTGGCAGGCTCTTGGGAGGTCAGTGACTCTGCCATGCACAGAATGAGTGGTGGAATGGAGGGGAGTCAGCTGAGCAGCTGAGCAGCGGTGCACGGTCCAGGGCCATCACCCCTCACCTGCTCCCCCCCGCCCCTTGCAGTGCATCCACCGAGACCTGGCCGCCAGGAATGTCCTGGTGACAGAGGACAATGTGATGAAGATTGCGGACTTTGGCCTGGCTCGAGACATTCATCACATAGACTACTATAAGAAGACAACGAATGTAAGTGTCACCCTGGGTGTGTCCCTTGCCCTGGAGCCCCTCCATCAGGCCCTCGCCCGTGTAGATGCCTCTACTGTAGCCCAGCTGTGTTGTTCTCCAGTGTGGGAGGATGGGCTGAAGATGTATGTAACACCCCACAGGTGTCCCCTCACTGCCCAGGGCTGTCCCCAATCTCCCCATGCTGTTTACAGGGCCGGCTGCCTGTGAAGTGGATGGCACCCGAGGCACTGTTTGACCGGATCTATACCCACCAGAGTGATGTGTGAGTCTGAAATAAGTAGTTGCCAGGAATAAGTGGGAGACAGGACTTCAGTTGGGGTCTTCACCCCCTGGGATTGTTAAGCGTCTCGTTCCGTCTCGGAGAGAAGAATTGGTGTGCGCAGTTGCTGTGTTCGCACATGTTGAGAAGACAGCCCTCCCTGCTTGCTGCTCCCCTTGGAGTGGAGAGCTGAGCTGGGGCAGGGGAGATGGTCCCAAGGACGGCCAGGCTCTGCACCCTGAGATGCAATGCTCTGTATTTACCTGCAGGTGGTCTTTTGGGGTCCTCCTGTGGGAAATCTTCACACTGGGTGGCTCCCCATATCCTGGGGTGCCTGTGGAGGAGCTTTTCAAGCTGCTGAAAGAGGGTCATCGTATGGACAAGCCCAGTAACTGCACCAATGAGCTGTAAGCCTGGGAATACATCTGAGGCCTCAAGCTGGGCCCTGGGGAGGAGAGGGCTGTGCATCCAGAGGAAATGGCCCTTCCCAGGCCATCCTCACCACTCTGCTCTGTGCACAGGTATATGATGATGCGGGACTGCTGGCATGCAGTGCCCTCTCAGAGACCTACCTTCAAGCAACTGGTGGAAGACCTGGACCGCATTGTGGCCTTGACCTCCAACCAGGTAAGGATGCCCAAGCTGAACCTCGGCATCATACATGGGGGCATCTTGTCGAACATGGCCTGACAGTCTCTCCACTCACCTTTCACAGGAGTATCTGGACTTGTCGATGCCCCTGGACCAGTACTCTCCCAGCTTTCCTGACACCCGAAGCTCTACCTGCTCCTCAGGGGAAGATTCTGTCTTCTCTCATGAGCCATTGCCTGAGGAACCCTGTCTGCCCCGACACCCAACCCAGCTTGCCAATGGTGGACTCAAAAGACGCTGACCACCACCCACCTGTCCCTGCCCAGACTCTGCCATCAACCGTACCCCTCATCCACAGCTCTCCGCTGGACTCACTGCCTTTCCCATGCCCCTTCCTGCTGGCAGGAGCCAGCCGCCTGTCGAGCCCTTCCTGTGTGGCCCGTCTTCCTGCCGCTGAGCTCCCCTCTTCCTCCTCTTCCTCTACCAGCTTGTGAGAGAGAGGAGCCAAGAATGGGCACTGGCTGCTGGCCACTTCCTTCCCTCCTGAGTGTTGGACCAAGACCCCTCCCTGCCCCCGGCACTTCCTGGGGGGTGAGGTGGGGAGACGAGCAGGCACATGGGCGAGAGCTTCTGAGATTCCTGGTACTGGTTCTGTGTTTCACCTTAGCTGTTAGCCCCTTGCATTCTGGTGGCAGGTACCTTGTCCTCAGGGCTACTAGAGTAGAAGGTCACTGCTTCAGGCCTCAGTTGAAGGTGAACTCTGCTCCAGATGGATGATGCCAGTGGCTTCTTAATTCCAATACTAATTTGCTTTGCTGACCAAATACCTGGTACCAGAGGATGGTGAGGCAAAGACTGGGAGCAGGGATGTGGCCCTGGGGCCCAGCCCTGAACTGGGGGCTTTGTACATAGTTATGAAGAAAACACAAAGTGTATAAATCTGAGTATATATTTACATGTCTTTTTAAAAGGGTCATTACCAGAGATTTACCCATTGGGTAAGATGCTCCTGGTGGCTTGGAGGCATCAGTTGCTATATATTAAAAACAAAGAAAAAAGAAAAAAAAAGGAAAATGTTTTTTAAAAGGTCATATATTTTTTGCTACGTTTGCTGTTTTATTTTTTTAAATTATGTTCTAAACCCATTTTCAGTTTAGGTCCCTCAATAAAAACTGCTGCTGCTTCATTTTTATCTGGGCTGTGTGAAAAGGGAGCAGATGTCCCCTGGAAAGGAGGGAGACTGAGGCCCAGGAGGCCGTCTATCCAGTAGGCACCGCACAAACTCCGAAGTTCCTTTGTCATCTCCTCCTAGGTCACCTGCCCTGACCTCCACGACAAACCTCCTACCTCTCTGAGGCTTTAGGAAAAACAGGAAAAGACGACATCCGAATCATGAGCAGTAACCTATCTGCACCCCACAGCGCTGGGCAGAGCCCCAAGGCCCAGCAGACTGTTTCCTCAGAGGACACTGAGGCAACAGTGTTAGACAGGGAGGGCTTTTGGGATAGCCGAGCAGGAGAACTAAAGTGAGGGAGAGGAGAGGGTCTGCGGGCACTCAGCCCTAGATTGGGCGTCTACCCTCCATGTGGGTGAGTTCTGGCCTGTGGCAAGTGACAGAAAACTTGTCACCTACGGCTAGTTCTGCATTTAGCTCCCCTGCTTCACCTTTCCCCAACCTAATTTGTTATCCTGATACCCTCAAACCATTCTTGCTGTCTCTGTATGACCAGACTGCATTTGTTGGGTTTGTCACAAATCTTGGCTTCCTATAGCTCTTCCTGTACAAACTCCACCCCGTGGCTCAGTACTTTTGTTTTTTTCACTGCTTGGAAACTTCTGCCACCTGCTGGTTGTCACAGTCCTCACCAAGTAGATTTCTGGCTCCTTGGCACCTTATTCTTCTATCTAGTCAGCCCCTGACCTTAAAGCTTCCTCTCCACTGGATCCAGACAGCTCAACATGCTTTCATTATGTAAAAAAGTGAGATTGCTGCTTTACATTTTCCTAAGTTGCATATTTTTTGACAGCTGCAGTGTTATTATTGTAAAATTCTCTCCTGCTTTTGTTTCTCTATGCAACTGTCAAATATTACTATTTGTTTATGTTTAAAGAAGGTACGATTTGGTGAAGAGAGCTAGGAAATGAATTCATCTCAAAAGCGTTTGCTTTGAGACCACATGTTAGTGTCTTTCCTTGTAAAATAGTGATGATAATTTTTGCCTGGGCCCTGCTTTACTATGATGCTGTGTGAATAGTTGGAAGGTCTATAAAGGACTTCATATGACTTTGAGAGAGGTACTAGAGAAATATAAGGCACCATTATTATAACAGCAATGTCCTTGCTGTTAATACTAAAATCACCCACAAAGTCCCCAGATACTGAGCTGGCTGTCAAATAAAAGATAGTGAAATTGACCTGAGAGAAAATGAAATGGCTATTTTACTTAGATGACCAGAAAGGGTCTCTTGGGAAAAGGAATCTAGTTTACCTAATGAAGACATTTCGCTGTCAGAACACTGAACCTGTCTGGCTTCCTCAGGGTTAAAAGATTAGGTCCTGGGATCACCACAACATTAATCAATACTGCCTTTCTTAATTGCCAAGGCCTGGAGATCATCAGTCCCTTAGCACTGCTAATGTAATATATTGATCTCAGGTAAGTAAGATTGAACATGAGCTGCAGCAAGAAATCTATCTTAATGGTAATTAAGTTACTATATCAGTAACCACTAGGTGGAGCCAGTGAGCTAACAGCACCATCAGTATTAAAATTCAAGCTGCTTTGAACTAATTCTGACCTTACCTGTAAGTATGTAGTAGAGGTGAGGAGAAATCTTTATTTAGCTCAGGTTTAGCATTATAGAGCACTGACTGACTGGATATTACTTTTTTTCTTTTTCTGGTCCTGGGGATTAAACCAGGGTCTCACATGTTAAGCAAGTGCTCTACCACTAAGCTACATTCCCAGCCCTTACCAATGTGACTTTTAATGATTAAAGTACAGAACTAGACAAGGCACTGGGCATGGGGCCATACACCTATAATTCCAGCACTTGGGAAGCTGAGGCAGGAGGACTGTTGGAAGTTTGCCACCTTGAGCTACATAAGGAGACCTGGTCCTCCACCAAAAGAACGATATGGCACAAGTAGGGGCATAAATGTTAAGTGCCTTTCTCTGTCTCTGTGTCTGTCTCCCTCATACACCAGCAGAATTCTTTGAGAGATAGGCCAAGTGTAACATCACTGCCGTCTTTTGGAGGACGCCTCAAATCAGAGCCAGGAAGGTTATTAGCAGCTGGTAGAGCCAAGGCATCTGCAGGGAAAGAGCAGGGAGAAGGAAAAGGCTTTGAGCAGAGCAGCTTGGCCTCTATTCCCTCAACCAATGGGAGCCAGGAAGGGTAAGACCAGCAAGGACCCAGACATTAAACTCCATCTGATGCGAATTCCCTCTAGGTTGGCACTTAACAGTAATTCAGAACCATCTTTATACTTCTGCCTTCCAGATGCATGTCTGCACACAAATGTGGTGTCATGATCATGCTGCCACCTAGAGCTTCAGCTGTCTACTCCAGAAGCACTGGGGCCAGTGGAAGCTGGAGCTGGCTCACAAGGGTCACTGCGCTGGTCAGTGCCCCCATGGTGTAGCCAGAAATCAGTCACAGTGGGACTTAACATCCCTGGGGTCAGTCAGAGCTATTTCTCCTCTCAGAGTTGATTACTAGCCATCTACCAAAGCACCACCAGCTGGGGGCTAAAGCTAACAATCTTGGAACCCAACAGCCAAGCACCCAAAGTGATGAGAACAAAGAAACTTCCATGACTTCTAGGGTAGTTCTACTGTCATGAGAATGGGAAGAGGGGTGTCTCAGCATTCATAGATGGCAAAAACAGGTGAAGGCCAACTGGAGACAAAAGTGACCCAGGGCCCTTTGGCCTAACCCTTCTGCTCATAGGGAAGGCCAAAAGGAACTGTAGGACAGTTCAACAGCACATGTAGATCTTTCAGCTGAGACAGGAGTGGACAAATTAGCCATGCCCTTCCTCACATTGTAACAGCTAAAATGTGGACTAACAACACCCATCATTTTAAAACATTTTACCATGAATCACCCAGTTTGGCCAATGGCAGATCCATGAAATGCTGTGCATAGTAGGGCTTCATCCTCCTAGAAGGGCAGTTCTTTGTGGGGTGGGTTGGGGCTTGTCTGCAAATGGAGAAGCTTAAGTGTTTTAAAGCCCATGATCTTACTGTAAGTGCTGGTGACATTTCTCATCTAGATGATTCCAGGCAGAGAAGATCTTAAGTTTTACTTTAAATCTCAGAACAAGTGAACAAAGCTCTTGGTCAGGTGGACGGCAACCTGACCAGTTCCAGTGTTAATACTGAGAACACTGAAGAGAAATATCTGAACAGGACTTGTTCCTGCAGAGCGCAGGGACTCTATTAGACTCAACCACTGTATGACTAACAGTCTTACTTGTGAAAGACAAGCTGATCAGAAAAACACATCCAGCACAAACAAATGGTTAAGGCTAGACTCTTAATTATGTTTCCTAGCAAAATGGTGGCTAATGAATCTCATATGTGCTAGAATAGTGGCCACTCCCAGATTTCTGCAGCCTCCATACCTCTGGAGGGGAATGTCTGCCACACGTGCCCAGCGGCCAGGCCTTTGTGACTGCCAATCTGTTTAACTTCCCATCTTCTAAGATTTCCCTTTATATCCAGAAAAAACCTTACTGAGAAGTATATCCTTCCCATCTCAGGGTGCTGTTCCAAGGCACTGTTCCTACTGTTAAGTCATTCTGAAAAAGTTGGCCAGGTCCTTGTAAGATGGCGTTTGGAGTCTGCAAGTTCCAATGTGGGATTCCAAGCCACCAGCCACAGAAGTATCCAAGGTGCCAAACAGATTCCACTATGCAACAACAAAAACCTTACTCTGAAAAGATGCACACAAACAGGAAGCAGTTCAACATGGTGGGGGTGGGCTTTGCATAAGGTTTAGTGGAATGACAGTGCTACAGAGGAAGTAAACTTCGGGACTACATTTCTAAAGGCCTGAACTTGGGTCACAGCAGACATGGCCTGGAATGGTTCCAAGGCCTCAGGGTTGCCCCCAGGACTAAATGACTGATCCTGTATCTAAAAGTAGACACAGCCTTAGCTGGATGTCCTTCACAGGTACCACTGCCAGCCACAGGTGGAGAGAGCACGCTCCACCCCCAAGTGGTCCTTAGGCTCCTTTTGAACTTGCCTTGCTGTTCTGGGATGTCATCTGGGATTTGACCTGGAGTGCCTAGGTATAAAACAAGGACTTTAGGCATTGGTCACAATCAGATGTGTGAGTTCTTCAGAAGTCCCTTGTCTTTCTTTTTGGTACCGAGGATCAAACTCGGGACCTTGCACTTTCGAGGCAGGTGCTGCTGGAACCACTGAGCTAAATCCCCAGCCCATTCCCTTGTCTTTTTTGGGGGGGGGGGGGGTACCAGGGATCAAACTCAGGACCTTGCACTTCCAAGGCAGGCGCTGGAACCACTGAGCTAAATCCCTGGCCCTCCCTTCTTAACAGATCACAAAGTCAAATCTGAGTTTGATTTATGTTGGTAATGAAAATGAGGGGAAAAAAAAAAATTTTTTTTTAAATGAGGAATGCAAACAGACCTCCATGTGCCTGGGGATCACTGGGTGCATACCCTATCTGCATGTTACAGATTCTTCTACCAGCAGCATTGGTCCACCAGTCCCACTTCACAGTTCAACTCTCCTGTGAGCCCCTATTTACTTGTGTCATGCTTTCTGCCCTTGCCTCAAATTCCTTCACCCAAATGAGGAGTGGACAGATAAGTAATTTCTTATTTACATCCATTGCTCCTGAAATTTAAATTGCTTTCCTGTTAGTATTTCCTGACATCAGAAGCCTGTGTAAAGTACCCAACATATGGAAACTATTTCCATCCAGTGCATATATGGTAATTAGCTTATAAACTTAACATGTTTAGGTCTGCTCCACCATTGCATTGGCTGGTAATTATTTTTTCCACTTTAGGATAATTGTGGTAAAAAATGCAGTGGTTATAAGATGACTAAATTTCACCCCAACTTCCTGTTTGGATGACGAGAATAATTATGTACTGTTTTGCAATGTTGTAATTCTAGTCTCACTATCCTTGGAGATAACTCAAAGAAAAGGTCTTTTGTTGGTTCTTGCTTTGTTTTTCAGGCTTTTCTTTTTCTTCTTAGATACTTACAGCTTCTTTAGAAGAAGCAATGGGTAATGAGATAGATGTCGGTGGTGGTTTTGGTGATGACGGCACTGGCGGCAGCTGCATCAACTCTTCATCCTTAAAGATCAGAACTGAGAGCTGGGTTACTGGTTTTAAAAACTAAAGGTACATTAGGTCTACTACCATGGCTAGAGGGAACTTTTAACAACTATTTCTTATTCTGGCACAAGGTTCAGAAAGCAAAAACTAGACCCTAAGAACATGTAGCCAAATGTTAAAACTTTTTTTCTTTTTCAGTGCTGAAAATTGAACCCAGAGCCTCACAGCCGCTAGGCAAGTGCTCTATCACTGAGCTACACCCCCTGGCTCCAAACGTTCAACATCTATCTATCTATCTATCTATCTATCTATCTATCATCTATCTATCTATCTATCTATCTATCTATCTATTTATTGAGGCAGAATCTTGCTGTGTAGTCTAAGCTGGCCCTGAACTCACTATGTAGTTCAGGCTGGCCTCGAACTCATGGCAATCCTCCTGCCTCAGCCTCCCAAGTGCTGAGGTTACAGGTGTGTGCCAGGAAATGTTCTACTTTTAAACAGTACAATAAATATTCCTTGCTTTCAATACAATTGTATTGAAATTTGGTTTTATTAATATATTATTATTTATAGAAAAATTAACATCATTATCCTTATTTTTAATTTAATCAAGTGGAAAGGAACTGTCTAACCTTAGTTCCCTTCAGTTGAGGTGCAGAATCTACCATGTTCCCTTTAGATTTGGGGGAAGTAGGCAATCCCAGGGGAACGTCCATCTTCAGAGCCTAGGGAGAGAAGCAGTTTGCAGAAACATAAGCTTTCTGCTCTTCCTGAAACTCAGAAACTCCTTTACAGTAGTCAATGCCTTTCAGCATGATTTGCTTTCTACTAAATCCCGACTTCCTCCTCTGACTACACCCTTTATGAGTAACATATGAAATACATCCCTTAGGCTGGGTATTTAGCTCAGTGGTTTTGCCGCTTGCTGCACAAGCGCAAGGACCTGAGTTCCATCCCCGGTACCAAAAAAAAATATGTCCCTGAAATAGCAACTTAAGGTTATTTTTCTATGAGTTTTGAACACTCTACAAAAGCTGCACTCTAGAGTCTAGTATTTAAGATCTAGTCATTAGCAATCCACTGACTTGCCTGTTCTCACTCTCAGGAAAAAAAAAAGCTGCTATTTCTCAACTACTCAGTTTCTATTAGCACTGACATAACTTAGAGTGGACACCATCTCTGGTGCCATAATAGTAAATCCACCTGACTGAAATGGTAGGTACTGCTTAACAGAAGCTCTTGAGGAGCTGGGGGTATAGATTGTTGGCAAAGTGCAGGCTTATCATGTGCAAGGCCTGGGTAACTATCAGAAGGAAAATGGAAGGAGGTAGTAGAACAGATGACAGATTAGATTAGGAGCCATGGTAGGATAACTAGTTACCTACCTGTAAGATTTACATCACTTAACTTTGAAAAAAACATCACTGCTCTTTGGAAATAAGTTTGTTACTCCTATAAAGAGTCACCTTTTTTTTTTTTTTTTTTTGGAACTGGGGATTGAACTCGGGTCCTGGTGCTTGCAAGGCAGGCAGTGGAACCACTGAGCTAAATCCCCAGCCCAGTTTGTTACTCCTATAGGGAAAGGGACTATATGCAGTGGTGGCAAACCTATGGTACATGTGCCACAGTGGGCTGTCCATACCACTGAAAGCTCTAAAAGGTTCACCATTACTGGACTATAGTATATTCAATTTGATGTCTCAATTCTTTTTTTGTTGTTGTCTTTGTTTTGTTTTGCTTTGTTTTGTTCGAGTCAGGGTCTCACCATATAGCCCAGGCTGGCCTTGAACTCGCTATGTAGCCCAGGCTGGCCTCAAACTCAGTGATCCTCTTGCCTCTGCCTCCTGAATGCTGAGCTCATGGGCATGCATCATAACACCCACCCAGAATGATGTCTCAATTCTTCACACAGCCCAGAATGCTATCTGTTCTGTTTAGAACATATGAAAAATAGAAATTTATTTTTTGTTGTTGTTTTTTTGGTACTGGGGATCGAACTTGGATCCTTGTGCTTGTGAGGCAGGCGGTAGAACCACTGAGCTAAATCCCCGGCCCAAAAAATGGAAATTTAAATACATGGATGAAAAGAACAACCAACACAATTCTGAGGAGCTTTTGTGGCCTTTGTCCTAAAGTCTTTTCTTACCCTTCTACAAAGCAGCATCTATAATAATTCTGAGAACCCAGATTTAGCTCTGAGACACTGCTCCTCCAAGATTTCCTTGCAAGTTCCTGGGGCCATTCTAAGAATAACAAATAACTTCAGTCTGCACTAGGTAGACCCAGGAGTTTGATCAAGTGAGAACTCACTAGCCAGCCTCCATGGTCTTTACAAAGAAATTGCTCCTAGTCTTCCTAGAATCCATCCTGGATAAATCTCAAAATCAGATTCCTGTCTGGAAATACATAAACAGAAAGCAAGACAGTGTTTCCTGGAATAGACTTTTCATGCTAGCCTTCAAATGACCCTCGACTTGTCCTGGTAGTCAAGAACACATCTGAGATCAAAAATGACCAGTCCTCACCTTGAGCACCTAGAGTCATCTGCTAGGCCAAGCATGTAGCATCCTACAGCAGTCTTTCCTTTCTCACTCATAAGACAGTAAGGCAGACCGGAAGCTGGGAGGAGAAAGTGAGGCCTTTTCTGAGGGGCCCACAGCAAGACGCTTGCTAGGGCCTGGCCCACGCTGAGAAGCTGCTTCAGTAAAATACCAACAGGAAAAGTATTGCTGAGTTAAAGGCAAAGTGATTAAGGAAACGAGTTGAAGGGAGACAAAAGTTTACATTCTAGGCTAGACATTCTTTGCTTTAAAATGAACAGGAATCTGGATAAGACATAAAAGAATAGGAACTATTTGGTTTAAAAGGAAAAAGCAGTTGGGGCAGGGAGAAGTCTGCTAATGAAGAAGACTAGGTATTTCAGGAGAGAGAATAAAAGCTTCTACTTCAGGCTTGGGTTAAATAGCCCCAGGGCTAGGTGGTCTGGGAGGAGGGGGGTTAGAGGAAGGAGGTTATGCCAGAGTGGGACCCAGGGCTTCACACACCACAAGTGAGCACTGCCACGGAATCTTAAAAAGATGTTAGAGCCACTGGGCCAAATTCTAAAAACACCTATCCGATTGCAAGAGGAAGTCAGACGTTGGTGGAGAGGGCTCAGCTGTGAGGAATCCAGAGACTCCCAGCCCAGTTACTCACCTCTCCATGCTGAGGTATCTCAGTTGGCTTTGGCTTCACATCTATCAGGTAGAAGGTGCAAGAAAGCAGCAGCAGAGATGGGGGCACATTCTCCTGTAGGTGCAGGTCCAGCCACTAAGGAACAGGGAAGCACAGAGCTAGAAGGGACCCTCGATCACCCATTGTTCTTCCCATCTCCTGCTGATATTCATGGCAGAAGAAAACACCATTCTCCCTACTTCTGCACCACTGCAAGTACCGAGCAGCTTCCCTTACTACTGCCCAGAGAGGACGTGTTCAATTAAGCTCTCAACCCAATTGGGATCAAAGGAGCTAAGTATCTTCTCTTAAACAAAAATTAGAAGCTGGGTGTTATGGTGCATACCTATAATTCCAGCATTTAGGAGACTGAGACTGGAGGACTGCCTTGAATTCAGTGCCAACCTAGGCTCTATACTGAGTTCAAGGCCAGCCTGAGCTACATAATGAAACCCTGTCTCAAAAAACAAAAACACAGGGCTGGGGATTTAGCTCAGTGGCACCGTGCCTGCCTCAAAAGCGCAAGGTCCTGAGTTTGATCCTTGTTGCCTAAATAAATAAACATTACAATGAGGATAAACTGCAGATGTAAGTAACTATTAAATTGACTACACTTTTCTCCCCCAGTATTGGAGAATGAACCCTGGGCCTCACACATGCTAGGTAAGCATTCTACCACCATGTTCTCAGTCATTTTTATTTTGAGGTGGTCTCACCAGTTGCCCATACTGGCCTTGAACTTGCTATCCTCCTGTCCCAGCTTCCCAAGTAGGTGGGACTGCAGGTATGTGTCACCATACCCAGCTTAACCAAGGTTGCTTGACTGCCTTTTTTTTTTTTTTGGTCCCGCAGATTGAACTCAGAACCTTGTGCTTGCCAAGCAGGCATGGCACTGCTGAGCTAAATCCCCAGCCCTGCTTGCCTTATTTTTTGTTTTGTTTTTTTGGTACTGGGGATCGAACTCGGGTCCTTGCACTTGCAAGGCAGGCAGCGGAACCACTGAGCTAAATCCCTGGCCCTGCCTGCCTTATTTTTTGAGACAGGGTCTCACTATGTAGTTCAGGCTGGCTTTAAACTCACTAGATCACTAGATAGAGTAGGCTGGCCTTGAACTTGCGGTGATCCTCCTGCCTCAGCCTCCAAGTGCTTGGATTACAGGTGTGTGTCACCACGCCTGGCCTGACCAAGCTTTTTTTTTTTTTAATATTTTTAGATCAATTATACAAACATGATCAAGACATAACTCACAGGTAAGCACAATGTACTCAATATAAACAAATTTTCATTCTATCCTATTCTCTAGCCATTCTCTTCCCTATATAATCTTCCTGAGATATAGAGGCACATACAAATTGATATTTTTAATCTTTACACAAAGGGTGACATACACACACTGTTTAGTTCTTTGTTTTTCCCACTGAAATATCTTGAATATTGATTCATGTTAGCAGATGCAGTATTGCTCCTTTCTTAAACATCCTTAAAGGATTTCATGTGTGGAAATGCTACAATTTATTTGATGATCCTCCTATTAAAGAACTTTAAGCTCTCAAATATTTTGCTATTATAAAGGGATAATATTGTTCATATGTCATTTTGTTGTTTTTTTTTTTATTTTGATTTGCACAAAGAACACTGGACATAGTGGCACACACCTATAATCACAGCTACTTAGGAGGATTGCAAGTTCAAAGCCAGTCTGGGCAACCTGGTGAGACCCGGCTAGAGATATAGCTCAGTAGCAGAACATCTGTCCAGCATGTGGGAGAAAGAAAAGAAGAGAAAAAAAGAAAGAGGAAATCCAAAATTGGAAGCATGAAGGAATCTGGCATGGCGTTGGAGATGGAGGGGCTGAGAGGTGGAGAATACAGGTGGCCTCCAGAGCTGAGTAGCTTGGGGCTAGCAGCTAGCAAGGAAACAAGGACTTCCATCCTACAGCTCCACAGAAGTAGGCTCAGCCAAAAAATGAACTAGCTTGTGGATTATTCCTCACAACCTCCTGAAAGGAGCACAGCCTGCACTCCTGACCTATGGAACTGTGAGCTAACAAGTGAGTGTTGTTTTAAGACACTAAGTTAGCAGTTTGTGATAACAGCTATAGGAAACTAATACAAGCCAGGTATTATGGCACATGCCTGTAATCCCAGCACTCTGGGAGGCTGAGGCAGGAGACTGCAAGTTTGAACCCAGACTGCCACAAAGGGCAGGGGGCAGCCAGTGCAAAGGCTCTGGGTTCAATTCCCAGTTTAAAAAAAAAAAAGAAAAAGAAAACTAATATAGTGTCCCATCCCTGTCAAAATGCAAAATAAATCTAGCTACTTCAGTGTCCCACTGTTGGATGAAATAAGGTAAATTAGGTAAGATGGCTCCCCTGTGCTATGGTTTGGATCTTAAACATCTCCCAAAGGTCTGTGTGTTGCAGGTTTGCTCACAGTCCCTAGAGGGCGGCACCTAATTCGAGGATATGACATCACTGGGGTGTGCCCTTGAAGCAGACACTGGGACCTTAGCCCCTCTTCTTCCTCTCTCTTTGCTTCCAGGCACCATGCGTTGAAGAGGCTTTCTCTGATGCTCTGTGTTGCCACAGGCCCAAAGCATCAGAGCCAAGCAACCATGAGCTGAAACCTCTGCCAACCACAAGCTCAAATAAATGTGTTCTCCTTAGAAGATTTTTTTGGTTTTTTTGGTACCGGAGATCGAACTCGGGACCTTATGCTTGAGAAGCAGGTGGCGGAACCACTGAGCTAAAGCCCCGGCCCTCCTTAGAAGTTAAATATCTCAGGCATTTTGTCACAGTGACAGAAAGCTGCCCAACAAACTTATGAAATAGAATAAAAAATGAGGTCTGTGAATCACTGACTACAGTTCTGTGAGGGGGCCTGGGTATGGCTGACTTGCCTCTGTGAGCTGCTGTCGCAGTTGTTCCTCAGTGAGACCCAGTGACCTCATGCCTCGGGCCCTACAGGCAGCTTGCAGTTCTGACATACTCAAATCTTTCACCCCTTCTTTGGCAATTATCTGCAAGAAATGTAAGGAACAGTATCAGATCTTTTGGTTCCAATTTTACCCAATCTCTATATTCTAGCAACCCAGTGGAAACCCAGAATCTCTTGCTTTAACTGTGTCTATCTCCTGTACTATTGTGCATGTCAGGATCCTAAAATACAAGGTGACTTTGGAAGGTGTGCGATGAAGGGAATCCTTTTAACAGATATTAACCATAGAAATATTTAGATAACCCCTCCCCAACATTTTATCAACAAAGTATTTCCCCTCTTGATTTGCATTTTGCCTGGTTGTGACATCTCTTCCCTTGCATAGCATCTTTACTATTCATTAGATTTTCACTTGAAAAGCTTTCAAGGTAGTATTTGTTGGGTGTCCCAGTGCTGTTTTTCCACCACTGTCCCCCACCACTACACCAGGCAAGAATGGTCCCCTCTGGTCCACAAAACTCCCTCCACAAATAACATACTACAGTTTCTGCTTGGTGTGATCCAAAGCTATGGCCCTCCTGGGACCAGTATTATTTATGCCAAAGTGCTGAAAGCAACATCTGAAATCCAAATGAGGCCAATGGGATCATGCTTTCTCAGTTCTGGGAAACCTGCTCCCTCAGGTAGAATGCTTTTTAGCAGCTGACTTAGATTGAAGAAACATCCTTTCCATTTTTTTTTTTTTTTTGGTACCGGAGATCAAACTCGGGTCCTTGAGCTTGCGAGGCAGGCGACGGAACCACTGGGCTAAATCCCCGGCCATCCTTTCCATTTTTTAAAGGAGTCTAATTAGTAGTTATGGTCCAAATGGTGCCTTCTATAACACAACTGGGCTGTTTTTTCCCAGCATTATGTTCTGCCAGACCCTTCTTACCAGGCCAACTCAACCAACAGAATATTTACTTTGGCATAAGCTCCGTGATAGGGGAGCAAAGGTGTGGGTATAGCTTTGCCAGAAATACATTGAGCTGCTATTGCTACTTCCTATGCAGCAAGTCCTACCTGCTTTCTATATAAGTTCGAGTCAAAGCACTGACTGTTATGATGGCCTTCTCAAAAAAATTGTTTCCAGCACAATAGACAATTCTGAAAATGACTAAACAAAAACCAGATCATCATGGCAGTGACTGTTTAAACCACTTATTTTGCCAGAATCAGTGCCTGAGCAGACAGAGAACACAGTACTTATTGACAAAAGTGCCCCTCCCCATCCACTGGGGATCCCCGAGAGCCATGGCTAAACTCTTACTCTGTCATCTGCTTTTCATAGACTTCAGTGTCATCAGAAGCTGAAAGCGAAGCAAATTGTTGGTTCCAAAGGTTTGCAATTCTAGTAGCTTGCAAAGGGCAACCAGCTGAGGCCGATCTAGGTGCTCTAGGGCCAGCTGATCCTCGAAGAGTTTGGAAAAGCGAACCATCTCCTTTGTGCTGTGCTTGTGGCCTATCTGGACCTAGGCAACGGAACAAAGAGGCTAATTAAAATGTGTTGCCTACTTCCCATAACCTTCCCATTAGAGTATTTGAAAGAAATATCAAAGTAGTTATGGGCTCTATTTGCTCCCTGGAAATGGGCCTTGTAGTTCAAAGAGGAGTAAAGAAATCTGAAGTCAAACTAAATTATTGGAAAAATCAGGAGTAGTTCAAAAGCTTGACATTTTTTCCAAGAATTTATCATCCTCTTCAACATAATGATTTTTTTTTTTTTTTGAGATAGGGTCTCACTATGTTGTCCAGGCTGGCCTTGAACTCACTATGTTGTCCAGGCTTGTCTCAAACTCTTGATGATCCTCCTGCCTCAGCCTCCCTAGTGATAGGATTATAGGCCTGTACCACCACACTCAGATAACACAATGATTATTTTAAGGTAGCCTTTTCTGCAGAGTACTATGTTTAAAATGTCAAGTGTTTAAATATCATACATTTATGGGCCGGAATTTAGCTCAGTGGTTCTGTCACCTGCCTCACAAGCGCAAGGTCCTGAGTTCGATCCCCGGTACCAAAAAAAAATCATACATTTATTATTTCAGTATTTGCACTTTCAAAGATTGTGGACAATCTGGAAGACTCAGAATGACGTGTACTTCTCATGTAATTCCAGCCCAGAAGTCATTTGATACAACATGAAAGACACACACCTGTTTTACATAGGATGACAGCTGTGCAGAGGCCTCTCCCAGCTTGCCTCTGTTCCTCCTTGCCATTTCTGTAATTGCTTCTTGAAGGAACTTTGCTAGTTCCAACTTCGCAGCCATTTTCTTTCTCTGCTCTTCCTTTGCAGTAGAAAGGAAAAGTTAATTCTTTATGACTGCAACTAGGTAAAGATAGGAGAAATAACTGTCACCTCGTTATTGCTCACCCCTGTAATACAGACTGGATTGTCTACAGATTTAACTGAGTTTTGTGAGAACCAAAGGAAATATAAAATAGACTATTTGAAACCCATTTTCTAATTTGAATTTATTTCTCATTGATGCAATGATCATAGGCATGTGACAGATCAAAAATGTCCCCTGGGCTGGAGATTTAGCTCAGTGGTTCTGGTGCCTGCCTTGCAAGCACAAGGTCCCGAGTTCGATCCCCGGTACCAAAAAAAATGTCCCCTGATTGGGAGACTTTCTCATTATTTAGAAAGATCTATTAGGCCAGGGATGCAGCTCAGTGGCACTGCACCTGCCTGGCAAGCACAAGGTCCTAAATTCAATCCCAATACCAAAAAAACAAAAACAAAAATGTAGGGGCCTGGCATTTAGCTTAGTGGTTCCAGCACCTGCCACACAAGCGCAAGGTCCCAAGTTCGATCCCCGGTACCAAAAAAAAGAAAAGAAAAATGTAGTGTGGTGGCATTTTCAAAACAACCATGGTCAGAAAAAAAAAAAAAACAACCATGGTCAGGACCTAAGGGGGTAAACAGAAACAGGAATCTATCAATGTATTTATTTTTTAAGTTGTCTCCTCCTGCCACTGATTCCCTTCTATTCCCAACTCCAACCACGAAGAGCAAATCAGAAGTGTGGGACTATGTCATGTTCTCTTACATCATTATGCCATTTTAAGTGTTACTCTTCTTATCCAGAACACCTTTTACAGATTGATAAAATTCCATTCACTCTTTAAGTCTCAGTTCCAAAGTTACCTCTTCTGTGAAACATTTTCCAATCTTACTGACTTAAAAGTTGTCCTCTTTGGGCCAGGGATTTAGCTCAGTGGTTCCGCCGCCTGCCCTGTAAGCACAAGGTCCTCAGTTCGATCCCCGGTACCAAAAAAAAAAAACCAAAAACAACAGTTGTCCTCTTTGCCCTCTAAAGGTGTTTTTTGTTTGTTTTAGTACCAAGGATCGAACTCTGGTCCTTGCGCTTGCAAGGCAGGCGCCAGAACCACTGAGCTAAATCCCTGGCCCCTCTAAAGGTGTTTTAGACAGACTTTCATAGCATCATCTAGTAAGATGACACAGAAAAGAGGAAATGAAGTTGCCTGTGTTCTAGCCCATCCCCTTCACAGTGGTCACCCAGGCACCCTCTTTTCAGGGACTGCGCATGAGCAATGAAGAGTGTTTTGTTCAATAAATCATACCCACTACCTAATTAGTCATCACATTTAAAATGGAATTTCATTTTATAGTTAAACTTTAGTGGAGAAGAGAGTCTTTTTCAATAAGTAATGCTGGCAAAACTGGATAGTCATATGCAAAAAAAATTTAGGCACTCACAGTACACCTTTCACAAAAATTAACTCTAAATAGATCATAAACCTGACTATAAACTGTAAAGCTATAAAACTCCTAGAAGAAAACAGGAAAGAAAAGTAGATGATCTTAGGTTTAACAATGGGCTTTTAGCTGCAAAACCAAAAGTACGATTATGAAAGAAAAAAAAAATTGAGAGTATGTAAAGGTGCATATCTCCAATGATGAATGTCATTATATTGTACAGCTAAAATGTACCAAATTTTAAAGTGAATTTTTTGACTGAAAAAATAAAAAATAAAATAAAAATTAAAAAGAAAGAAAAAAAAATTGCCAAGTTGGGTTTCATTACAAGTGTTTCCCCTGTGAAAGACACTGTTTAATGAATGAAAAGATAAGCCATAACTATGAGATAACTCATAAACTACAAGAAATATTTGCAAAATATATCTGATAAGATTAAAATATCCAAAATATACCAAAAAACAAACCCTCAAAACAACAATAGAACAAACTACTCAACTGAAGAAGTCTAAACAGACACCTCCCCAAAGAAAATATAAGATAGCAAGGGCCGGGGATTTAGCTCAGTGGCCGCGCCTGCCTTGCAAGCACAAAGTCCTGAATTTGATCCCTGGTACCCAGAGAGGGAAAAAAAAAGATAGCAAATAGCACATGAAACAGTGCTCAACATTATATACTATCAGGGAACTGTAAGTTAAAACCAGGCAATTCCAGGACAGACCTATTAGAGTGGCTAATCTGCAAAACACTGACAACATTGCTGGGGAAAATGTGGAACAAGAGGAACTCATTCATGGGGGGGCAGGGGACAGATTCAGCATGGCAGAGCCACTTTGGAAGAGAGTTTAGCAATTTCCTTTTTTTTTTTTTAATGACCCACCAATCACACTATTTACTTATTGAAGTAAAATTGATTTGAAAAGAAACCTGCCCATAAATGTTTAGAGCAGATTTACTCATACTGCAATTGTTAAAACTTGGAAGTAACCAAGATGCTGTACTTTCAGTAGGTGGGTAAATAAACTGGGGTATATCCAGACAATGGAACATTATCCTCGGCCTTGTCCATTCCCTTGCTGAACCCAAGAGCACAAGCATCCAGTCCATATCCACATAATTCTAGTGACACTCTTGTCTTCTGGAGGCTGCATTTTAAACTCTGGCATTGAGTCTCCACCGGCAGCCTCCACTCAGACTGACAGGAAGCTGTAGGGTCTGCATACACAGCGAGGCAGTGCACTGTCCCTGACCTGATGCCTTGACTGTTTCCACATTTCTTCCACTAGCCTGGCAGCCGCCATCCTCCTTCCTTTCCTTTCCTTTCCCTCAGCCTGTCCGCTTTTGCCCTCCCTCCTGAGTTCAGCAAAGCTAAGCATAGTCTTACTGTAGGGCCCAACAATCACTCTCCTAGGTGTATACTTATTATCCAAGTGAGGGGCAAGCTCACGTCCAGTCCACACAAAAACCTGAACACAACTATTTACAGTAGTTTTATTCAAAAGTGCCAAAAATTGAAAGCAACCCATTCTCAAAAGGTGAATGGATATACAAACTGTGGTACAGTATATCCACACATAGAATTATTATTTAATGTTTCAAAAGTATGAAAAGAGTTGGAAAAATTTTCACTGCATATCAGTAAATGAAAGAAGCCAGTCTGAGAAGACTACATAGGTATGATTCCAGCTACATGAGATTCAAGAAAAGGCAAAACTACAGACAATGAAAATCAGTGGTTGCCACGGTCGAGGGGAGAAAGAGAAGCAGCACAAACAAGTGGAGCACAAGAGATTGATGTTACAGCAGCGGAGCTATTCTGTATGAGACTTGACGGCAGACACATGACATACACATTTACAAAACCTACAGGTCTGTACGCCACAAAGAATAAACCCAGGGCCAAGGATTTAGCTCAGTGGCACCGCACCTGCCTCGAAAGCACAAGGTCCTGAGTTTGATCCCTGGTACCAAAAAAAAAAAAAAAGTACCAGTATTGGTTCTTTAGTGGTAACAAATGTACCGTACTAAGGCAAGATGTTAACAATAGAGAAAATTGGGTGTGAGAGGTAGTAGTAGTATAGGAGAACACTGTATTTTCTGCCTGATTTTCTGCAAATTTAAAATTGGACTGAAAAATAATGTCTATTAACTTTAAAAATTTTTTTAAATTCTGCATACCTTTTGGGATTCACTTTCAAAAGTTGATGGCAACATATCTGGGAAGAGCTTCAGAAACACTGGTATCAAGAATTCCATGAAGAGTACAATTATGAATATCATGAATGGAACCAAATGAAAGAAATCAACACAGGTTCTTAACAGCTGAAGAATTAAGTGCATAAACAATATTTAATTATTTTAAGACATGAAAAAAAATGCCTGTCTTGGTTCTTTTTTTTTTTTTTTTTTTGGTACCGGGGATCGAACTCAGGTCCTTATGCTTGCAAGGCAGGCGGCAGAACCACTGAGCTAAATCCCTGGCCCTGCCTTGGTTCTTAATATACCATAAACCCAAAACAGGTTTTTAAAATGAAAAGGTGAGGTTTTTCTCTTTTCCATGTCTCTGAAGTAGTATGTATGGGGTATCTTCAAGGAAATCTATGACAGCCAAAACATTAAGGCATCTCTTAGCTTTCATTCAAATGAGGGGTCATACTCAAATGAGACGGTCTCACTAGGTTGCCCAACTGGTCCCAAACTCCTGGGCTCAATTGAGCCTAAGCATCAATCTCCTTATAGTATCTGGGACTACAGTTACATGCCAGTGTACTTGACTTTTTTTTTTTTTTTTGGTACCAGGGATCAAACTCAGGATTGAGCCTGCAGGGCATGCATGGTGCCACTGAGCTAAATCCCCGGCCTTCAGTGTACTTGACTTTAAAAATTGTTTTTTAGGGGCTGGGGATTTAGCTCAGTGGTTTTGCCACCTGCTGCGCAAGCTCAAGGACCCAAGTTCGATCCTTGGTACCAAAAAAAAAAAAAAATCGTTTTTTAGGGCCGGGGATTTAGCTCAGTGGTGCCACTGTCTTCCTCGAAAGTGCAAGGTCCTGAGTTTGATCCTCAGTACCAAAAAACCCCCCAAAACAAAAAACACACATATACTTGATATATTAACAACTTTGTATTTCTGATGTACATTAAACCTGAAGCCTCTCAACTCCTTGGAGATATTAAAAAAATATAATTGCTGGGCATGATGGTGCATGCCTATAATCCCAGCACTCAAGAGGCTGAGGGAGGAGGATCGCTGTAAGATCAAGGCCAGTATGGGCTACATAGTGAGTTCAAGTCAAGCTTGGAGTACATAGAAAGACCTTATCTAAGAATTAAAATATATATATATATTATTTATAACTATAGAATTGTAATTATGCTATAGGTAATAAGAATTATTCTTGAGGGTCTGGGTATTGCTCTGTGTGGAGCTCCTGGCTACCATGAGGAGGGTCTTGGGTTCATTCTCAACACTATACAAAATAAAAAACAAAACAAGGCCTAGGGATTTAGCTCAGTGGTGCTGACACCTGCCTCGAAAAAACAAAACAAAACAAAAAACTCTTCTGGTCCTCAGCAGTAGTTACCACTCCTACTTTAGGACTGGAGGCAGGGCAGCAGGTGGCTGACAATCAAATCCAGGGCCTTAAGCATGCTAGGAAAGCTATATTTATTTTATTCTTATTTTTTTCAGTCCTGGGGATTGATTACAGGGGCTCACGGATGATAGATAAGCACTCCACCACTCAGCAACTTCCCCAGCTTTATGTTTTTTTGAGACAGGGCCTTCCTAAATAGCCCAGGCTGGCCTCCAATCCTCCCACCTCAGCCTCTGGAATAGTTAGGTATGTGGCACCCTTGGTATTTTAAAGATGAAGTTGGAGTTTAAATCTTGGTTCCCACATTTAATTTTATTTATTTATTTATTTTGAGACAAGGTCTTACAACTTAGTCCAGGCTGCCCTCAAACTCATGATCTTTCTGCCTCAGCCACCCAAGTGCTGAGATTACAGGCAGAAGCCACCACATCCAGCTTCCCAGATAGTACATTTTGATTTCATGGTTTCTTGCTCAGATATATTCTTGCCTACCCTTCATCTCTCTCTCCTGGTCAGCACCTGCCCATGCAGCAGCCTCTAAACCATTCTGGCAGCCACTTTGGAGTCATTCCAAAGTAAGTAGAATCCATTGTAATAATATTTAAGTTCATTCACAATTCTTTGTCTATAAGACCGCTTTTCTTCTTTGATCTTTGACCCAGTGTTTTCCGTGGGCTGAGAGCTTGTTACCTTGGGTTGTTCTGGGATTTTCTCTGGCTGAGGCTCTCCAGACCCCTGTTGCAGCCAAGAAGCCGATGTGTGTAGCTTTTGCATGAGTCTAGTTCATACACAAAGTGCTCTAGTGCCCGACTGACTGAGGTACGAATGCTTCTTGCATCCGTAGTTCTTTACGTAGATCTTATTTAAATGAGAATCTGGCAAGTGAAGAAATGCAAGAGACAGGGAAGAAGAAGGGCAGATGGGCTGGACAAAATGGCTGGCGAATCTGAAATAAAGAGCAACATTCTCAGAATTGAACATGTACTATTACAAATTTGAAAGTAAAGAAATAGAGATTTTATCTGGGGAAAGAAAAAGGTTTTTTATGCCTGTAAGCAGCTAATATTCATTAATGAACAAATACATATAAATGTACCTATACATTTTTGAGGGTGGTGCTGGGGATTGAATTCAGGGCCTCACACATGCTAAGCACATGCTATACCCACTGAGCTACACTCCCAATCCCAAATATAACTTTTTACCCCATTGAAAAATAGTATGTTCTATGGTTGAATATACTCAGTATAAGATGTTGTTATGTTAATTTTTTTTTTTTTTTTGCGACAGGGTCTCACTATGTAGCCCAGGCTGGTCTCAAACTTGCAGCAATCCTCCTGTCTCAGCCTCCTGAGGGCTGGGATCACAGGCACCCACAAACAAGCCCAGCACACGTTACTGCTTAAGAATAAAGTGCTATAGGGCTGGGGATTTAGCTCAGTGGTACTGCCGCCTGCCTTACAAGCACAAGGTCCTGAGTTTGATCCCTGGTACAAAAAAAAAAGAGAGAGAAGAAGAAAGTGCTATGTTAGAAGTCAGATAGATATTCTCTTTTTTTTTTTTTTTTCTGAAGAGTCTCTTTATTCAGATGCTTTTATTTATTTCATTTATTTTTTTTTTCAGTACCGGGGATTGAACTCAGGACATTGTGCTTGCCAGGCAGGGACCGGAACCACTGAGCTAAATCTCTGGCCCAGAAGTCAGATTTTTTTTTTTTTTTTTTTCAGTTTTAGAGTGATACCTGTGTAACTGATAAATGTCACATGAAGTCCTTAGAAGTAAAAAGTAGTAAAATAGCTAGTGAGGAAGCTAGTCCTAGGACATATTCCTGTCCCACTATTATTATTTATTTATTCAGAGAAATATTCACTGAGCACTTACTATGCATCAGATACATTGTACATTCTCCCTTTGGGCCAAAGAGTATTTTTATCTTGGCATGCTTTTAAAAATAGGATGTGAGACTGGGGATTTAGCTCAGTGGTTCCACCGCCTGCCTCGCAAGCAAAAGGTCTCAAGTTCAATCCCCGCTACAAAAAAAAAAAAAAAAAGAATGTGAGAATGAAAAAAAACCCACATCTTTTTGCCAAAATAAATCTCTGCCAGTAACTTTTTTTTTTTCCTGCATTTTCAGTTTTTATTCGCAATTTGATATACCAGTTTAAATGGACTGTGGACTATCACAGTACTAGAATGTAGCAATCCTTGGCTAGGGTGCTCAATTCTTATTCCTAATGTTCTTGAGGAATTTTAAGTGGAAGGATATTTTGGCTGTAAGTTCTTCTCATTTGATTTGGGGTTTTTTTGTTGTTTTATTTTTGGGGGCAGGGTCTCATATGTAGTTTAGACTGGCCATGAACTCACTATGTTACCCAGGCTTGCCTCGAACTTGTGGCAATCCTCTTGCCTCAGCTTCCTGAGTGCTGGGATTACAGGTGTGCACCACCATGGCTGGCTAATCTTATTTGAAAGAGTTTATAGACACCCATAGACAAAGCAGTATTATATGACTGGTTAATATCCACAGGGACCACAAAATGTTTCATTAAAACATTCATATAATCAGTAGAGTGGCTGTAGACACAAGTGTTCCACCTATTTTATCAAAGTAGATAGAGATAATACTATAATCCCTAGCAAAAATAATGTTTGCTAAATCTTTTTTTTTTTTTGATACCAGGGATCCAACTTGGGACCTTGTGCTTGTGAGACAGGCAGCGGAACCTCTGAGCTAAATCCCTGGCCCATGTTTGCTAAATTTTAAAATTAACAGCTGGAAAAAATATTAACAGCTGGGGAATATCTGATTTCTTTTTTGTTATTGTTGTTAAGAATATCTGACTTTTAGGGGCTGTGGATTTAGCTGTATCCTACCTGTACCACACATCTAGAAAATTACTCAGCTTGAATTCTAAAGCATACAGGAAATTTTAGGTAATTTAAAATACGTTAAAATGTTAGCTTCCTAAGAACCAACAGTTAAAGCCAGCAAAGTTTTAAGCAGGCACTAAGCCAATCCTTTTACACATTATCTTCTCCATCACTAAGAATGAAGTTCATATATTGCTGGGGGGGGGGTCGTATGCTTACCTGGATGAGGCAATAGCTAAGACTGAGTTGCAACTGTAGAAGGCCATATTTACTTTTGTCTCAACTAATCAACATAGAGACCTAGGCAAAAGAAAACAAATTAGTATTTAAAAAATCAGTTAATAGATCAAGATTTAACTGCTGCACAGGTAGAAAATGTGGATATTAAAGGTGCACAATCTCATTAAAATTCATTTTCAACAATCATAAATAATATTTTCTCACCTCTGGATTTGAGAATGTTACTTGGTGATTTCAACGCATAAATACGATCCGTAAGATGATTTTCATGAAAATAATACGGCTTTCAAAGACATTTTTATTTCTGGTTCATAATATCTAGTAATCTAACTTGAACGGTTGCCCAATATTTAGGAAAATGAAAAAGACACTATTTGTAGCCTAAAAATAAATAGAAAGCAAATATCTTGGATTTGTTTTCAATTAGTTTTTTCCATAATTGGCCAAGCTACCACAAACCCTAATGCCTGAAAGTACTCACTAATCTCATTTATGGAGTACTGAAGATACACATGGTGCCTACAAATGGTTCAAGTACAGGTAAGTGAGTTTCCAGGGCTAACAATTCTCTAGAGCCCCAACCGAACTTGCTTTTTCATTACTTATTTAGTTACTTGATTTTTTGAGACAGGCTCTTACTATGTACTTCAGGTTGACCTTGAACTCACTGCATCACCCAGGCTGGCCTGGAACACTCAGCGATACTCCTGCTTCATCTCCTTATGGGCTGGGATTACAGGTGTGCGCCACTACGACCAGCTCTGTACCTTTAAACATGCTCAATCAAATAAATAGACAGACAAATAAATAAGTAAGCTTAATCAAGCCTGTAGTAGAGGCACAAGCCTATAATCCCAGCACTCTGGGAGGTTCACGCCGGAGGACGACAAATTCAAACTCAGCCTAAGCAAATCAGCGATTTAGGGACTCTATATGAAAAATAAACTAAAATAAAATAAAAAGGCCTGGGGATGTAAACTCAGTGCAAAGGCCCCGGGTTCAATCCCTGGCGCTTTTCAGCTAGGAGCAGCAAGGAGCCTTAGTACTGTGTCTCGTGCTGTCGACTCTGCTTTCCTGCAGCCGGGCTCACAGGAGCACCAGGTGTCTCCTGGCTGGAAACCTCTACCCCTGGGCTACGGTTCTGCAGAGAGCTCGGCAAGGCTCTGTGCTCGGGGAGACCGGACCTGCGCGGCGGCGACTCTGCTCCCGGGTCACCTCTGCGTGCGGCTCAGCACTACGCCGATCGCGCCCTTGCTCCTCGGCTTTCGCGTGCGTGGGGTGGGGTGGACCGCTGTGGGTGGGCTCGGAGGTTTTGTTGGCGAGGAGGGTACAAGGTAGGACAGGAAAAGGGCCCTAGCTGCTGATCTGGGTGTTGGAAATGAAGACGAGCAGGAGTGCGCAGGACGCGGAAGGAAAATTCGGAAGCGAAGTGCAGAAGGAGGGGGAATGGAGACTGAGGTCCCAAGTTTGAGCGGCCGGGCAAGGGGTGAATCGAGGGCTGAGGAGAGCGCGGTGGAAATTGGAAGTCGCCAAGCGTAAGCGGTGCTGATGTGAGGAGCTGGAAGCGGAGGTAGGGGACCTCGCGGACGGCGACGCAGGCGCGGACCAGCTTGTCACAGCCGAGGGTCTGGCCCGCCCGACCCCACCTCTCGGGAGGGCTCCTCGGAACGCCCGCCGCGGGGCTCCCCCTTTCCCAATTTCTCTCACACCCGCAAGCTAGAAGAGCCAGAGGCCAAGTCTATACCTCCACCTCTCGTCCCTCTCTCGTGACGTCACTGAGTGATGACACACACCAGCCAATGAGCTCTCAAAATGTTCTGAGGGCGGGCGTCGTTCGCCGTAGCGTCTCCCAGGAGGCTACGAGGTCTCCTTACCCTGGGCAGAAAACTAGTCTGCTGAATTTAGTTTAGGCGTTGGTGCTGGCGAATCCAAGCCGGAGTCTTACTGCCTAACCACACGCTATGGTCTGTGGCTAACTCCCTGGAAAATTCTTGAGTGAAAGTTGGTTAAAGAGCCTCTTACCCTAGGGTAAAACGTCTGATAGTATCCATGGAAACCACCTTGAGTCACAAGTGACAGCAGTTTGATGTAATCGCCCTCCGCCCCACCCCCTCCAACTGTGAAGTGTTTGCGGGGACCCGCGGGGGAGGAGATTGAAGGGGTAGCAGAAAGGGCGGAAGTAGAAGGGAAAATGTTCTTCCTACTTCTCCAGTCCCCGAGGCTGGAATGCCATGAAATCTTCATTTGGAAATTACACTAAGGAAATTTGCTTTTTATAAATGTTCTCATAACAGGTTTTGCTTACGTTTGTGTGGAAATCCCAACATTTACATTGTACTTTAGAGGAGCTGTGAATTGATATAGGGATTGCGCCGGGTGGTGACGAGCCTCACGCAGACGTAACCTGGGCGCGGCCACCTGGGCAGTGACCGCCGCCCTGGCCTTGTCTCCCACCTGCAATGCCCGCGTCTTCATCTGCGGACACTTCAGCTCCTAGGATGGGCAACTGAGCCATCTTGGGAAAGTGAAAAATCTAGAAATATTTTTGTACCCGTGCTTTCTTCCCCTCCATTTTATCTCTTCTTTTTAAAGACGGACGAAAATTTTAGTGGTTAACACCAGACAGCAAGGAATAGCTTTCTCAGAGATTTCACATGTGAGCCGGCTACAGACTTTAGTCATCTGGGGAGCACATTTGTAAGAATGAAAGATGGCGGGTATTCAATTTCAGTAGGAAATCCAGGCCGCTTTTAATCTAATCCATGAAGCTTTTTCCAGGCAATAACCAAGTGGATCAACTATGTAAACTAGGCAAAATTTTTCAGTTGAGCCACTAGAGGTCCCTTTGTGCATGCCTAATGCCCAGCTTTCCACAGAAAGGTTTCACTTCACAGTGGGTTTACTAAATGAAAATCTACAAGCTTTCTTCCTCTTTTACCTTTCCCCTCGTGAAAATGTCCGATGACAAATTTTTGAGCTTTAAAAGATAAATCCAATTTTAATATTGATTTCATAAGTGAACCATCGCGTTACCATATACTTGTACTTTTCTGGGAAAGATCATAAAAAAGATGTCAAAATACTCCTTTCACTTCACTGGGAGACATTTTATACCAGGAAATACTTTTTTTTCCCCTTAAATTCTTTTATTGGTACATTTTAGGTATACAATACATTTATTTACATTTGTCATTGGGTATTTGTACCTGTACATGATGTATCTTGGTTCTTATTTTTTTCCCATTCCCTGTGCTCCCTTCACCCTCTCCACTCTTCCCTATTTACAAAGATTTTGTTTCCATTTTTTTCCTTTTCTCATAATTTTTCCTTTCCCTTCTTTCCTTTCCCCTTCCCTTCCCACTTCCCCTTTGGACCTTTTCTTACTATTTCAAATTATTAATTATTAATTTTCATCATTTTAATCCTTATTTACACTTTCAGTTTCTCAAACTAGAGAAACTATTTGGTATTTACACGTGTCCTATTTCACTTAAGAGTATCACCTCAATGTGCATGCATTTAGCTAAAAATGTCTAGTTTCTCATTCTTTATGGCTGAGTCGGACTCCATTTTATTTTTTATGTTTTTTAAAATATATATATATTTATTGGTACATTTTAGGTACAAAATACATTTACATTTATCATTGGGTGTTTGTACCAGAACATGATGCATCTTAGTTTTTATTTTTTTCTCCCATTACCAGGAAATATATTCATGCGTTGTATTCACATACAACTGGGCACAGAGAAAATCATTAAGTATTTGTAGACCAGATGAACGATTCCATGCCCACCATTTGAAAGATGAGCTAGGTTTCCTCCCATGGCCATGTGTCAGCCATCCTAGTTGTTGGGGTTTTTTTTTTTAGCAATCCTAGTTTTAAAAGGGAAGGGTTAAACAGCCTTCTTAGTAAAAATCCAAGTATTCAGAAGCAATGTCTGCCTTCTCCTGTAATCAGGCTCGGCAATTTCTTTGACTTTCAGGACAAGTGATTCGATATAAGGAACTGTATATAATCTGCAGAAGAGAATCCCACACTCCCCGCCTTGCTTTTTTCCTCCCTCTTAGAAATTTTTTTTTTTTTTTGTACTGGGGATTGAACTCGGGACCTTGCACTTGTGAGGCAGGTGCTGGAACCACTGAGCTAAATCCCTGGCCCTCCCTCTTAGAATTACGTTAGGTGAACTGCTTGCTCATTTTCTATGGAGAAGAGTAAGCATGTTCCCAACTTCAGAAAATGTCAGATACTGAAATTATTACATCTATGTAAGATGCTAGATGTAAATTATTCTAGTGCTCATTTCCTTAGATATTGCTCTAGATCAAATATTAACAGTATTTTCTACTGTTTTGGAGGAAGGCTCTATACTTTTACCTCACATAATTTCAATTTTAAACTTGTTTTTGGCAGAGCTATTGGAAGCAAGCTAAAATAAAATCCCAGGGGACAATTTACTAGATTCTTCTCAAGGGGAAAATCCAGGTGTTAAGCCAAGATAACAGTTTATCAACATATCAAAGTTCCAGGATGGTGGGAAAAGAAGGATGGAGGTAGAAAGAACTATAGAAAAAAATAAGGTTAATTTTTTTCTTATGTATTGTTTTGGAGACAGGGTCTTCTGTGTGGTTCAGGCTGGCCTTGAAATCACTATGTAGCCCCAGTCGGCCTCAAACTCATGGCACTGTTCCTGCCTCAGCCTCTCGAGTGCTGGGACCACAGGTGTGCGCCACTGCTACCGTTAAAAATAAGGTTAATTTAATCCTTTCCAGGAGATAGAGCCAAACAAGGCTCAGGTAGTCCCCATCTACCTGCTGGCCATCTGTTTTAAAATGACATTTATAATGAAAATGTGCTTTTAATGTATCTTTAACTTTTTTTTGGTACCAGGGATTGAGCTCAGGATCTTGCGCTTGCGAGGCAGGCGGCGGAACCACTGAGCTAAACCCTCAGCACTTTTAACTTTGGTAACTACATAAAACTTAGGCTTAAAAATAGTTTTAAAAGCAGGGTGGGACAGTGGGTCGTGCTTTATAGTCCTACCTACCCTGGGTGCTGATGCAGGAGGATTGCTTGAGCCCCAGGAATTACAAAACCTGCCTGAGCCACGACAGTGAACACATAACACTATAAACACATAAAACTAAATAAAAATAGAAGTTAATAATGATGGAAATCCTTCATTTTCAATATCACCCTTAGGATTTTTTGTTTTGTTTTGGTACCGGGGATTGAACTCAGGACCTTGCCCTTGCCAGGTAGGTGCCAGGGCCACTGAGCTAAATCCCTGGCCCTGTTTTGTTTGAGCCAGGGTTTTGCACAGTGTGGGGAGCTGAGGGGGTGGGAAGGAGGCGGTTGCCCGGAGTGGCACATTTTTTTCTATATGTCATTTAAATTTTTCTATTTAAAGTGAAAATGAAAGGAAAAAATGGAAACAAAGTTTTTGTACATAGGGAGGGCTTTTGTACATGGGGGGGATGGGATAAAATAAAATTTATCAAAAAGGTTTTTTTCTATTTAACTAGGTTAACATATTCAGTTATGTTGGAGAGCTGCAAATTGAAGAACTGCCCCAGGCGGCATGAACTTTAGCTACGCTTCTGGGCTTGCTATGTATTTCCGGCTGAACTTAAACCCACTACATAGCCCAGGCAGGGCTTGAAGTCACAGAGATTCTCCTATCTCAGCTTTCTGGGTTCTGGGACTACAGGCGTGCGCCACTGTGCTGGGCTTCACCCTTAGTATTAACAGATTTTTGTTAATAAACTAATACATAATAGTGCCCATTAAAATAACTGATCTACGCAAATTCAATCCCAATCTGGGCAATTTAGTGGTTTAGCAATATTCCATTTTAAAAAAGAAAAAAAAAAGGCTGGGGCTGTAGCTCAGCGTGAAAGCCTTGGGTTCAACCCCAGTATCGCAAAAAATAAATAATTGATCTAAGAATCTTCAAATCTCCTAAATGGTATTTTAAGAAAGCTTCCAGGAATTTCTTAAAATGGTACTCAGTAGACCCGGCACTATGTCTACGCAGAGTATGACGTCTAGCAGCGATACGGTTTTGAATTCTCAGAACAGAGAGCAGAGCACGCATCGGTTTCCTCATCTGCCGCCAGCCTACTTCCTTTGTACGTTCACGTCTGTGCCGCAACGCTGTCACTACCACCGGGGCCCAGGAAAACACCATTGCATCTGCACGCCCCCGAAAGACTTCTCTACCGTGCCCCACGCCTGGAACCTTCCATTGTTTTCCCTCAATTTCCCAGAACGCGGCGGGGCTAGAGGCTTAGAGCGCACCTCCCGTTCCCGCCTCTCCTTGGGCGCGCGTGGAAGACAGACGCCCCACGTCACTCGCCCCGAAGGGCGGGGGCGGGGGGGGGGAGAGCAACCCGGTGGCACGTGACGGCGCCGAGCTCGGCCCCTGGGCCCCAGGCGGCGGGGCGACGCGCTCGTGGCTACCCACAAGCCCTCGGGTCGCGGGCCGAGCAGGAAGAGCGCGCGGACCCCGGGGCCGCCGCCACTCACGCCCGGGGGCTGCCTGTACTCCCGGCCCAGGCACGAGCCTCGAGTTGTCACCTCGGCCCCAGATGCAGACCGCTGGACTGGGCGCCTTCTCTGACAGGTGTCGGACAGAGACAGCGCGGGAGGCTCAAGCGGAGTCCCGCTGTTTTCCAGTCCTTCTAAGCAGCCCCCGAGTGTTGGTTCCTCCTGCCACCGCGGAGCTGCACAACAGTGCGCTCCGAGAGTTCCATATGGCGTCTAACGCGCTGTTTTTCTCTCAGACTGAAGGACACGCACTAGCCCAGTCTCGCCTCACAGGCCCCGCCCCACCCGACCCGCCCTCTGTCTCGTTTTGTTTTCGTTTCGTCCCTTCCTGTCCCTTCGCTGCCTGGTCGCGGTCTCCGTCTAGTCTCGACGCGCTCGCACCGCTGCCTTCCCGCCCTCCGCTCGCCTCTCCGGAGCCCCGAGCCCAGACTGCATTTCCCGGCAGACGCCGCGGTCCAATGAGGGGCTGAGGATTTGGCGGTGGCGCCCCGAGAGTCGGGCGGGGGGGCTTTGTGCGAGGCGGTGGCAGGAGAGGCGGCGGGAGCGGTGGCCAGCGCGGAGGCGGGGGCGGGGGCGGGGGCGGAGGCCGAGGCGGGGGGCTGAGCACAGGGCACCTCGGAGGGCGAGCGAACTCCGAACGTGCCCCGAGGACCCCGCTGCCCCGCCAGGCCGTCACCACAGGTTCCGCTTGGATACCGGTGGCAGCCCGGCGACCCGGGTCCCGCCGCCTACCCTCCCACGCTACTTCCCGCAGCCTCGCTCCTACCGCAGCGCTCCCGGCCCGGCTCGGCCGTGGCCCTCCTAGGTGCCGGCCGCCATGGCAGGGGCGTCCGGCGCGGGGGAAATCTAGTCCCGGGCTTTCTTGCGGCCTAGCTCGGTTCTGTCTCCTCCCCCCGCGGCCGCGGCCCCTGCCCTTGCCCCAGCCCCACTCCGGGCCTCCGTGTCTCTCCTGTGATCGCGCTGACACGGCCCGGGGGTTAGAATGGAACAAACTGAAGGTAAAGTGCGTGTGTGTGTGTTTGTGTGTGTGTGTACACGCGCGCGCGCGTTGTGAGGAAAGGCACGGTGGGGAGGTGGCGACCTAGGGATGGGGCAAGGGTGAAGGGGTGACCCAGGGACCTGGGACGGAGGAGAAGCGGGTGGCCCGAAGGTTGGAGGGCAGTCTAGAAGGGAGAGCAGATGGCAAGGTGGGGGGTGTGGAGGGAATTGGGGGGTGGGGCAGGGGAAGGTGGATTGGGATGGGAGATGTAGTGGCGCTGAGCTGGGAATTGGGAGTAGAGGTGGGCTGGGGGCGGGGAGAAGAGTTAGATTTGGAGAAGATTAGGGACTTGGGCGACTGCGAATTGGGGTGGTCCGGTAGTGGGGTGTGGGAACCAGGAGACTGGGTGAGGAGGATAGAATTTGACGGGGAAACGAGGTATCTTTTGGGAATCAGCGGAGAAATGAGGGAATGAAAGTGGAGGAAAAAATGGATTAGAAAAAAAGGATGAGAAATGCTTGAGGCAGGATGCAATGGGAGGGTAGGAAACAGACGCAGGAAATTGGAAGAGGTAGAATGGGTTAGGGAAGGCAATTAATTGAATGTTGAAAGGATGAGAAGGATAGACCGAGCGTCACAGAGTGGGAGGAAAAGCAGGGGATGGAGGTTGTTAAAGTGTGAGAAGGAATGCCTTTTGTTCCAATGTTTGTATTCTTGCCTTTTATTTCAAGGCTAGAGACAGAGAAGCTAGTGGTTATGGTTGTGATTGTTGGGAAGTGGGGAAGGTGTGGGTGTTACCGTTTTGAGGGGAGAGGAGATGTGTTTGTGTTATGGTAGGGAGACAGACATGGCCATAATTTGACGGTTTTGGTGAGGGAGTGAGGACTATTCCGATGTAAAGGGGGCAGGGGCAGCCATGTTTGCTGCCAGACACTGCAGTGTAAATAAATTCCTTTTCTTCGCCGACATCGGTGTGAATCTGGAAGGGACCAGCTTACATTTGTTAACCCCCTTTCTTTCTATTCATGAACTCTTTTCCCTTACCTCTTGGGTCATTTACAATTATTCAGAACCACCAAAGGAGGTAGTGATGTTTTCCATCTTGTGTGTTTTGCTGTTCTCCCCTCTTTCCCCTCTTCTGGTTGCAAACAAGGCATACTGATGAACAGTGTAAAATTTAACCCTTTTTGTAAATTTTAAACTAGATTTTTTTTTTACCAGCCGAAGGAATTGTTACTACTCTTGTATTTCAAACGTGATCGTGAAGTCTTTTAAATATTGATTGGTTTCAAAAGACTCAGAGGCAGTCAACATGTTTTCTGCAATTCTTTAAGTAAACAAGGAAATTGCATCGCTTATTTTACTTGAGGCTGTGCTCTTGGCAAAGTACTGTGGGGTTGAGGAGTAGGAAGATCTGCCTGTAGTAGATTATCTGTTTGCTGTATTTTGAATGTTGGAAAAATTAGAAGTGTGTGTAATGATGTTTCTGATAGCTAGTAGGTGGTGGGTATGTTAAGGATAGTGCCTTATTATTTTTTTAATAAACTCTTTCCCCCACTTCTTCCTTTTGCTTTCACGTAGCTAGCTCAATACAGTATCCAAATGCTAGTTCAGCACAGTGCAGTGATCTATGAAGTAGGCATACAGTTCTTAAAGCTTCATTGAGTTGCCAGGTTTTTTGTTTTTTGTGTTTTTTAATTCAGGTCACTCAGAGGAAAGCTACAGAGTAACTATTTGAATGTATTCAAATGTAACTACTTGTTCGATTCAAAAGTTACTATTTTAAAGGCTGACAAATTTATAGTAGATGAACAGGTATTGGATAGAATCCATTTTATTTTCATATTGGAAAGAGTTAAAAATGTATGATCTTTTGTTTTTGTTTTATCATTGTAATGGGGTAATCCAAGCTTTAACCCATAACATTGATATTGAAACTGCTCTCTAATACCAGGAAGTCTTGTTGAAATTATAATATGGTAGACTCAGTTCAGCTGTACCATGTACTGATTTCATCTGTCCTAATAGTAATGTCCTCTCTGTTATAGAATATTAGGATGTGTTCTTGGTTTGTTGGAAAAGTTAAACTGAATATTGACAGTGTTACTTTCTGAGAGTATTCCTAGGATAAAAACTAAACTTACATCACTTGGAGTACTTTGACTCAATACTATTTAGTCTGAATTTTTTGAAATTCTTTTTTTTTTTTGTATCGGGGATCGAACTCAGGACTCTTGTGCTTGCAAGGCAGGTGAGGTGCCACTGAGCTAAATCCCCAGCCCAATTTTTTGAAATTCTGTGAGAACAAGTTCCATTAAAAAAAAAGCCATTCTGGGACTGGGGATTTAGCTCAGTGGTTCTGGCACCTGCCAAGCAAGGTCCCCGAGTTCCATCCCCTGTACCCCCCCCCCCAAAAAGCCATTCTGTATGCTTTGTTGGAATTTATATTTATGGAGATTTCTTATTTATATTTCCCATTCAATTGACATGTTATTTGTAATTAGTTGGTAAATTGTGTGTATGAACTACCAGTGCTATAATTTTTAGGAAAACAAGCAGTTATTATATATTAAAATAGAAAAAATCATGTTGGAAGTTGGAATGAGCTGTCATGAGTGTTCTGATTCCCTGGACACAGGTCTCCACTTAATGAAGAAGGCTGGTTAGACACCTACAACCCAAACTGTCTTCTGATTACCACTTCTGCTACTTGTGATAACTTCTATTTTTAACTGTATATTAACAAATATTTTCTTTAACTGATCAGATTGAGTGAGTTTTGAACAAAGGAAATTGACTGTCAACAAGATTGATGATCAATTGTCAAATCTGGTTCTATAGAGTTCATAATAATATTCATAATAATCACATTTATAGCCAAAATTTGCTATCCTCTTACAGTGAGCTATGCCGGGTGTCTTACATGTATGATTTCCTCTTATCCTCTCAACAGTTTTATCGGTAATTTATTCACTTTTACAGATGGAAAAGTTGAGTTTAAGTAACTTAACATCCGGTATGCTATTAAGCATTTAAATAGTATTTAGACCCAGGGCTTTTCTACTTATGGACCTGGATAAATAAATTTATTCCTTCCTCTCTCCTCCCCCTGTCCCTCTGGATTGTGCATACTTTTTCAGGTTTTTTTGTTTGTTTGTTTGTTTGTTTTTAAGGTACAAGGAATTGAACCCAGGGCCTCAGATATACTAGGAAAATGCTCTGCCACTGAGCTACAACCTTAGCCCTTTTAGTTTCTTTAAAAAAATGTGTGTATGTGTGTTTGTGTGTGTCTTTAAACTCCATATGAATGGGGCCATACTACCAGCATTTTGCTTTTTTTTTTTTTTGGTACCAGAGATTGAACTGCGGTCCTTGCGCTTGCGCAGCAGGCAGTAAAACCACTGAGCTAAATCTCCCGCCCAACATTTTGCTTTTTTATTTTAATAGTTTGCCCATGACATCTTTTTTTTATTAGCACATGGGACCTACAGCTTATTTTTAAGGGTCATATAGTATTCCATTGTTTGGAATATTAACATTTAGGTTAGCAGGTTTTTGCTAGTTTAAGTATTAGAGTTGCTCCTGAATTATATTCCTAACAAGTTGTTTAAATGCAAGAGAGTCCAACTACCTTATTTTACAAGAGAAAACTGAGTCCATCTGGGGATGGTGGCACATGCCTGTAATCCCAGCACTTGGGGGGCTGGGGCAGGAGGATCATTGAGTTCAAGGGTAGCCTGGCCTACATAGTGAGTTTGAGGACAGCCTGAATTACATAGTAAGACCCTGTCTCCAAAAAAAAGAGAAAACTGAATCCTGTAGAAGTTAAGTTCAAGTTTTTGGTGACAGACCTGTTACTTGGATCTTTATAGGACATCATACTACTTTTTTACTATGAAAGTATTTTGAACTACCTATGAAAGCTAAAGGTGAGGGAGAGCACTCAAAGGTTAGGGATGTTTAGAGTATTGAGTTCAAGGGATCGCTACAGATCTTTACAGGTGATGTTTGTTTGTTTGTTTTGTTTTGTTGGTACCAGGGATCGAACTCAGGACCTTGCACTTGCGAGGCAGGCGCCCAAACCACTAAGCTAAATCCCCGGCCCTGATGTTTGTTTTTTGTATTTTGCTCATCATGTTGTACATAAAGAATATGAACACAGTATTTTAACATGCCTAAATGAAGTGGCCCAAGTTATTTTATTTCTTTTTTTTTTTTTTGGTACCAGGGATCGAACTGAGGACCTTGCGATTTCAAGGCATGTGGCAGAACCACTGAGCTAAATCCCTGGCCCTGGCCCAAGTTATTTTGAAGTTTGTGTTTTGTGTAATGAAGTGGTTTTTGGCAGAACTTTCCCTGTTTTAATATTATCAGTGAAATAAGATAGCAATGACATGAAAAAAAAAAAAAGATCAGAGATCCAATCATGCTCCTGGAAAGAAAATAAAACATTTGTAAATTTTAAAAATGAACTGAAAATACCTAATTGAAAACAAAAATTTTAAAAAGTCCTCATAGGCACTGTTGATTATTTTTAAATTATTTTTGCCTATCAAGAAGAAAATGGGTTACTATGGATACATACTCATTGGGTTCTTTTAAAACAAATATAGTCTTGTCTGTTGTAGACATTGAAGAAATTAAAATTTTTGCAGCTTTAAAACAATTTAGAATTTGATGCCTCGCCACAAAATCTGTTTCTCTATAATGCTATTTTTAGTTTTACTTTAGAAAAAAGCAGTCTATTATTTTTTTGAAGGCTCAACTAAGACTACTTCTTTGTTAGTAAACAACATATCCAGCATTTGAGTTTTTAAATACATGGTAAGCTTTATTTCTGTAGTCTAATCTTTTTTGGGGGGGGTACCAAGGATCGAACTCGGGACATTGTGGTTTCGAGGCAGGCGGTGACACCACTGAGCTAAATCCCCAGTCCTGTAGTCTAATGTTTTTATAAATATTAATAAGAATAAACTTAAGAATTATACTGAGACTACCTAACATTTTAAAATTTATTTT